CGATGTTAGTTGATAGATTAAAGGGTTTGTTAAATCAGTTTGGTTTATTCGATGTTAGTTGACAGAGTAAAGGAGTTGTTAAATCAGTTTGGTTTATTCGATGTTAGTTGACAGATTAAAGGATTTGTTAAATCAGTTTGGTTTATTCGATGTTAGTTGACAGATTAAATAATTTGTTAAATCAGTTTGGTTTATTCGATGTTAGTTGACAGATTAAAGGATTTGTTAAATCAGTTTGGTTTATTCTATGTTAGTTGACAGATTAAAGGATTTGTTAAATCAGTTTGGTTTATTCGATGTTAGTTGACAGATTAAAGGCTTTGTTAAATTAGTTTGGTTTATTCGATGTTAGTTGACAGATTAAAGGATTTGTTAAATCAGTTTGGTTTATTCGATGTTAGTTGACAGATTAAATAATTTGTTAAATCAGTTTGGTTTATTCGATGTTAGTTGACAGATTAAAGAATTTGTTAAATCAGTTTGGTTTATTCTATGTTAGTTGACAGATTAAAGGATTTGTTAAATCAGTTTGGTTTATTCGAAACTTTTCGATATCTTTGTCGCAAAAAGAAGGAATATACTTGGACTGGCCAAAGAGAAGATATTATATTAAAAGCTAGATTGGATAATTTAAAAGTCAATTCTATTATGTTGACGAGAATTTTCGAACTCTCGCATGTAAATAAGTTCATGTCTGATCATGCAGCAGTAGTTGTACGATATACAGAGGTTTTGAGTAGGAATAGGAAGGGTTGCGCTTATTGGCGTTTTAATAATAAATTATTGGAAAATACCAAATATGTAAGTGAAATTAACCAAATTGTAACAGATTTTCAGGCACAACGAAAAGGTAAAACGTTAGAGTGTGGTGGGATCGTTTGAAAGGAGTAACTAAAGCGCAAACTCAATTATTTTAAAGAAAAATTTATTTAAAAAATAAATGGGAGATAGAGCATCTAGAAATCAAGTTATCTCAATTATCCCAGACTGACAATATGTATCCTATGTACGAGGAAGCTTTGAAAGAACTTCCTATAAATCGAGTCAAACACTGCGAAATTTATCAGCGAATCCAAAGAATCAGAGAAATTGATACCCCTACGTCTTTTGTTGTTTTTTTTGTAGATTACGACAAACACCTAGTACACAAAAAGCCGTACTAGCAGCTTTAAAGGATAAAAATGGTAAGATAACTTGGAATTTAAATGATATAAATTCTATAATTATTGATTTTTATAAGATATTATATTAAGAACAAATGGTAAATGAAATTAACGATTCTCTCTTTGAAGGCTTACCGAGGTTACCAAAAAGTGTAAAAGAGTCTAGGTGTTCCATTAACGTTTACAGAAATAACTGCCGCTTGCCAATCATTAGCAGAAGACAATTCCCCTGGAATTGATGGCGTAACGGTTGAGTGGTTAGTAAAATGTTGGCCTAAGATTGGCATTTCTCTGCTAGAGGTTTTTAATGAATCTCTAGAGGTAGGTGAATGTTCTAGAAGTATGAGAAAAGCAATAATAAAGTTAGTACCTAAAAAAAGGGGAGATTTGACAGAATTAAAAAATGGGTGACCAGTATTA